TGAAAGCAAGCATCAAGCATGCTTAATTCAAACTATTCCACTGGATCAGGCCGTACGGGAAGTATGCCTCCAGACAAGCTTCCACCAGGGCTGGGACCCCAAGTGGACAACAGTGTGTCATTCCAGGGAAGCTAGAAACCAGGTGGGTCATCCGGAAGCCCAGGACACACCTGTTCACACCTACAGCTCTACACTAGGGCTGAGTCCCGCTCTCAGGCGGGGGTAATGGAGGTCTGGTGTCCATGTTCTCCAGCAGCTTGGCTGTGAGGTGGAGTCCCCGTCCTCAGAACAAAGCATCCTTCACTCCCTTTGACATCTGAGTGGAGGCATCTGAATCAAGACAATGGCTTTTAAACCAAAAAAAAAATGTGTTCCTGCAGCCACCTCTGGTTAACCCTTCAGTTCCCAGAATCCATGGCATCCCCTATTTTTATTCTGAAGCCCAGGATCCAAACACAAGTAAAACTGGAACACACGGAGCCTAGTGTAACATCTCATGACGCAGCAGGCACAAAAGGTCCGGACTAGAAAATGAGCACGTGGCCCTGCCTCCTGGGCAAGGCGGGGCCGGAAAAGCCCCGCTGTAGCTACTGAGAGGAACCCCAACCAGGCAGACGGTGTGAAGGCGGATCTAGACCCGTGGTTCTCCAAGTGTGGGCCCTGAGCCAGCAGAATCAACATCACTCGGGAACTTACTAGAAATGCAGATTCCCTGGCCCTGCCCCGGCTCTGGATTAGAAATCCTGGGGGCAGGACCCAGAAACTGGTACTGTAACAAGCCCTCCAGGGGATTCCAAGGCCCACACAACACTGAGAGCCCCAGGGCCACACCGAGGACGTGAGCGCTTGTGGGCAGTGCAAATCCCCACACCGTATTCCAGAAAGTCTGGTTCCAGGCACAGGCGCCATTACAGACAAGCAAATGGTATATAAGACACCTAGCAATAGAGGGTGCTGGTTGACAACCAAACTTAGCAGTAAGGAATCAAAGGACAGACCTTATTCTGTGAACAGTAGGAAAATTAGCAGAGCCCTGGTGCCAGCATGGGTTTTGGAGACAAAACTCCTGCCCAGAGGAGGTTGGGGAGGGGGAGGGGGGTGGAAAAGATAAGGAAAGCCTAAAAAAGGCATTTAGCCATGGGGGGCAAGACAGCGGTCCAGCCACCAAAACTGGAAACGCAGTCCCCCAGATTTAATCTTAAGAAGATCCAGCCACCAGCCCCGGAGCAGAAGAGCTGAGGCCAGTCTCTCCAGCGCTGAATTCGGATTCCATCTGCAGGAGCTCAGCTGGCCCTGGGAGTGTTGGGGGAGTAGGGGGTCAGCCTCGCCCTGAAGCTGGGATCTACTCGGGAGGAGAGGAAGCAGCAGGGATGGGGAGTCAGCACCCCTGAAAGAGATGTTAGCAATGAGATTCTCATGAGAAATGTGTTACAGTTCTCTTGGTCTGAACTCAAACATAAATTCAGTTACGTGCGTTGAAGACATTTTTACCAGGCAAACAACCAAGGTAGTTAATGACACCCTTAATAAACAAGGTAAGTTATCACTCCTACACAGATACAACATGGGCCCCCTGCACACACCCAAACTGAGTTTATAATAGTATGAACAAACATCCGATCTCCCCCAGGGGAGTGTCGTTTCAGACATGACAGTGCTTTTTAATTTGCTCATATTTTCCTCGGGTCGGCCTCCTTCTCTGTATTCCCAGTCACCCTGGGAAATGCCATAGCTGAGCAGGACCCTACGGGGACCTTCCCGGAACAGACCACCCCCCGCCAAGTCCTCCTTCTGCCTCTTGTCTGTAGAAGACGTTCAGTTTCCTATGCCTCCCTGAGTTCCAAAGAGTATATTTAATCAGAGAAATGAGAAAAGGCAGAAAGGAAGGAAAACAGCCAAATAAGACAAAATAATAATAGTTTAGCCGTTAAACAAAGTCAAGGACCTTTAGCTCCTCCTCAAGTGAGGGCTACAGATGATATTCTGAGCCATATCCTTTGAGCTGTTCTGCAGACACTGAAAGCCCCACCGGGTGGAAGAAGTTAACTGCAGGCTGTGCACAAGCACGTAGACCCCAGACGGGTAGGTGGTTGACTCCTGATGACCTCACCACCAACCAATCAGAAGAACGTCCAGGAGCTGATCATACGCCCCTACCCCACCCCCAGCCTGTCCTTAAAAAGTTCTTCCTGACAGCCTCCAGGGAGTTGGGGCCTTTTAAGCACTAGCTGCCTGGACTCCTTGCCTGGTGCCCTGCAATAAACACTGCACTTTCCTTCACAACCTGGTGTCAGTAGACTGGCTTTACCACGCACGGGCAAGAGGACTCAAGTTTGGTTTGGTAACAGTGCCACTGTGGGACATGTTCCATCCCCAGCAAGCTTTCTTTCACACAGCGGCGTGTACCCTCCCCTCTCTCCCAGGGGCTGTCCTCACTCCTACATTCCTTAAGATACCTGAGTCCTGGAATAACCCTTGTTCTAGCACAAATCTATTACGTACATGACAGGAGAAGGGTTTCAATGTCATTTGCTAGAATTCCACTTTCAGGATTTCTCTTTAGGACTATAAGTAATAGTAATGTAGCAACAGCTTATGTATTATATACTATACACACACACACAGCATGGGCTCCCAAGTGGGCCTCATTTTAGAGGGGGGGACTCCTAAAGTTGTGATGTCTTAACCTAAAGGGTCAGAGCTCCAAGGGGAGGAAGAGGAAATATCTTGTCAACCTAGTTGGGCAGAGAGTGGGGACACAGAGAACCTTATGCCCTCTTCAAATGATAAAGAAAAGGAAACCACTTCCTTTTCCAGGGAACACACCAACTCTAAACTCTCGAGTTTCAGTGAAGCTCCGTGATGGGCCCCAGGCTCCCCCAGGTAAACGCTACTGGACGTTTGCCATTCGCCCCACAAAATGGCGCCCTCGGAGCCACTAAGAGAGAACAGAGGCAGTGGCCGCGTGTGTTCATCAAGCAAACGGCCCTCCATCTCCAACAAGAGGAGACAACGCTGGCCTAGGAAGAGTTTCATCACATAATAGAGAAATAACCTTGCCGTGCTTCCGGATAACTGTGGCATTAATTTGACCAAAAGAAAAAAAAAAATTCAGCTCCAAATGTTTCCCAAGCACAGCATCACCACTGACAGGCTTTCCTCATAGGCGGCTGAACTCCCGGAAAGCCTGAGTCATCTGGATGGAAGGGGCAACCAGTAAGAGACTTCCTCGTGCCCGCCATGGCCCGGGGGGGTCTGCCTGGAGCAGCCGTGAGGGAGTGACATCCATCAAGCCCACATTGTCCCACGACCTCCGTGACAGCGTGATCTTCGCACAGCATCTGTTCCCTCCTGTCAGCGAGCGCAGGTGATGAACTACCGAGGACAGTAATGTCTAGTTGCTGCTTTTTCATAACTGGGTTGGTTGGAGGATTCCTCAGTGACGAGTGGGCAAGGGCAAGCCTAACACCCAGCCAGGCCCCGGCACATGGAGAAATGAGTGCAGATGTCTTGGCTTCAACTCCCCTCTTGCCGCCCTCCCTTCCCCACCTCTTTTCCTGCCCTCCCCCCACCCCAAGGGACCTAGCAGCCTGGATATGACTCACTCGCCTCCCTAAACCATAATCGGCACAAGGAATGGTTAAAACAGCAGAGAATGGTGGCTAAGAGCAGACACCATGAGGCCAGAATGCCTGGATTTAAATCCTGCCCCTCCACCTTCTGGCCATGTGACCTTGGGCGATTTATTAAAATCCTCTGTGCCCCAGTGTTCCTATATTAGAATAGAGGACATACTCGCAACAGTAGCCACCTCGGGCTGTTGTGAGGGTTGAAGGAGCTGACGTTTTTAAACGTGAGTAGTCCTTGCTAAGGGAACAGCAACAGGAGTCATGAATAAGAAGCAGTAAGCTAGCGCCCAGCCCGTGCGCCATGCTCCACTGCTACGGAAGACACCTGAGTGCTGACGTGAACGCAGCCGTGGGCTCATGCCCATCCTGGAGCCCTAGAACGACCATGTCATTTCCTTTACAGATGGTGACTTCCCTTAATTACCATCCATGTCTCGGTCCTGGGCATTCACGCACATTCTTCTGCTTTAGTCCTGGGCATTCCCACTGCTGTTGCTCTCCCAGGGCTGACCTTGGCCCGTTCTTCCCCCAAGGCCAATGAGCAGGACATTTAGTCATCTAGGACAGGTGTGGCCCAGAGTTTGGAGGAGCAAGGAAAATCGGGGTGCAGCAAAGCACACACACACACATATTCACAGGGACTCTCCTGTCAAATCTGCCCTCCCCACACCTGTTTGCCCCCCATCACCTCTCCTTGCCTTTCACAAGGCATCCAGTATAAACTCATTGGTTTCTAGCTTGCTTTGCTTAAAATAATGCCAGATTCATTTGTATTGCTGTGTGTGTTGGTAGTTTGCTCTTACTGTGTGTAGTACTCCATTGTATGAATACCACAATTTGCTCATCCATTCTCCTGTTGATGGGACATTTGGCTTGCTCCCAGGTTTTTGCTATTGTGAGGAAACTACTAAGAGCATTCTTAGACATGTCTTTTGTTAGTATGCACTTGTTTCTCTTGTATGTGTGTGCGTGCGTGTGCATATATTTATACACACGTATATAATTTCTGGATCATAGGGGATACACATGTTGAAACCTGGCCTATAAAACTCCCGGCTTAGGAAAGTGCTTTAATTGGATATATACCATTTTGGACACCTGAAAACCTATCTTAATTCAATAACACCATTCGATGAATAGAAGTCAATTGTCTCAGAAAATGTCATCGTTAACAGAAGAGCAGACATCTAACCAATGGGCTGGAGGCACGTCTAGAAGGCTACTTTCAAACTGCACCGTCAGCCACTCTCACATGGATTTTGGCATAAGTGGGCTTTCTGTTGTTTTTAGGAGTTTTCCTCCCCCCTGGCTGCTCAGAAGTTTCAGATGAAATTTTTCTGATGTTTTTAGTGAAAGATGATATTTGCTTACCCATCATCGAAGATACTTCCTCGGCAGGAATACTGTCGAACATGTTGCATTCACAACATGACACGAAGTCTAAAAATCACAGAGAGACTAATTACTGGAGGAAAATTACACCCAAGGACCTATTTCCTCATGATGAAAATGACAGCCTGGTGCCCTGTTACCTGGCCTGATCGGGCAGATAGCCTGTGCAACACGGTTCTAGTGCTCTGCGTTACAAGCCACGGCAGAGGAAAGAGGCACTTCGGTCCTGTAAGCAGCTGGGTGAGAAATCAAGGCGAGCTGTCAGTCAAGTGAGGTCTAATTATAAGTCTCAGTTCCACTATTTATGAATGTGACAGAGAGTAACCGGGGCCTACTTGCATCTATCTATGGGGCCATGTGAGCAAATCCTTCTCTTTATGCCAACGTCTGAATTATCTATCATCTTGAAGCTTTGACATTTAGTGCTGACAGCCAGGGCTTGCCCCGGCCAAAACTGTCAAGTGAGGACCACCCCTCTTTGTCATATTGCTTTGCTTCTTCTCATCAGCCACTCAGGACCAAAACGTTCTGTTCCTCTCCCTATCAAAAACCTCTTTTTTTTTAATGCTCATTTTTATTGAAGTGTAGCTGATTTACAGTGTTAGTTTCAGGTGTACAGCAAAGTGATTCAGTTATACATATACATACTTTTTCAGATTGTTTTCCATTATAGCTCATTATAGGAAACTGAATATAGTTCCCTGGGCTTTACAGTAGGTCCTTGTTATTTATCTAGTTTATATAAAATAATGTGTATCTGTTAACCCCAAACTCCTAATCAATCCCTCCTGCCCCTTTACCCCTAGTAACCACAGTTTGTTTTCATGTCAGTGAGACTTTTTCTGGTTTATAAATATAATTTTTTTTTAGATTCCACATATAAGCGACATCATATGATATTTGTCTTTCTCTATCTGACTTAATTCACTTAATATGATAATCTCCAGGTCCATCCATGTTGCTGCAAATGGAATTATTTTATTATTTTTATGGCTGAGTAATATTCCATTGTATATGTATGTGTATATATAAATATAATATATATATCACATCTCCTCAAAAACCTCTTTAAAGAGACAGAAAGTCATGTTTTCCTCCTTAATATGAATTTAAACCACATCAAATCACTTCTCTTTCCAGTCAAAAAAGATAACATGGTATATGGTTCCATTTATATGAAGTATCCAGAATAGACGAATCTATAGAGACAGAAAATAGATTAGTGGTTGCCTAGAGCTGGGGCGGGGGGGGGGATGTTGGCGGGAAATAGGAGTGACTGCCATCAGGTACAGGGTTTCTTTGGGGATGATGAAAATGTTCTAAAATGTATTTGGTGATGACTGCACATTTCTGTGAGTACACTAAAAACCACTGGACTGTACACTTTAAATGGGTGACTTGTACAGTATGTGGATTATATTTCAATAAATCTGTTTTAAAAATCACTTTAACAAAAAACTCTGTTCTTTTCCCCAAATGCAAAAAATGTCAAGTGTCCAAGAACAAATGAGGAAGTCTGGGAGTGGAGGGAGGCAGGGCGGCAACAGAACCACTTCTGTTCCCCTGACATCACTCTTATAAGGCCAGTCTTGGAAATTATATTAGAAAAGGGGCCTCTTGCTTGATATTAATCAGTGATGCTCAGGTTTTTTTGACCCATAACCATTTTTGATAAACATAAGTGTCTTGTGACTTCTTTTGAGCAATCTGAAATTTCAAAATATCACAATTACAGGCAAATCAAAGCAATTATAACACAGCCTCTTCACTTGTTCAGAATCACAATATAGAGTGAGCATTACAGTTTGTTTCTATTGGATTATTTTTTAATTTTTTTATTTTGGGGGGAGGTAATTAGGTTCATTTTTTTATTTTTAGAGGAGGTACTGGGGCTTGAACCCAGGACCTCATGCATGGACCTCGTGCATGCTAAGCATGCGCTCTGTCACTTGAGCTATACCCTCCCCCCTTACAGTTTGTTACTAAAACTACCCTTAACTTTCTTTTCATATCATGTCAGCACTGGAAGGGACTTTAAGATGCTCCCTTTTATCTCTGAAGACACTGTTCTGCCAGACATGCACCAGGACCTGGGGTTCAGAGGACACAAGAAGAGGAGAGAGTGCTTAAATAGGATTGGGAAGTACTGAGTAAACAGTGGGTACAGCAGTGGTTAAAGGCACTCAGATAGATGCCCTTCTGAGCTCCACAGATCCTTACACATTCCCCAAATGTGCTCTTTGTCCCATGTCTGATCGTTCAGTTCGTCCCCACCTCAGACTGTGGCAACTGGTGGCAGGACCCCATCTTATCTTTGCGCTAGCTCAGTTGGTGCGGATGAATGAAGGTTGGCTGGATGGGAACCGAGTGGAACATTTGCAACGACACTGAGCAATTCATTCTTCATTTATGGGTTCACTTGTTTATTTATTCACTTATGGAATGACCTCAAATTCGTCAAGGAAAGAGAAAGTTGATCTGTATTCTACCCATGAAAAACAATCTGGCATCTGCAGCAATTCTCCAGTGAGATAAACCATAAGCTCATCAAGTCCGTGCTCTATATTATTTGATGCAGAACTGCCCACCAACAAGACTTTCTGAGAAGCAGATGAGGTTAATGGAGGGAAAGGAGCCAACGTGAGCAAAATCTGTTCCTGTATTAGAGTCAAACTGGCTAAAACACACACATTTGTTCATATGATACGACATTGACTATTCTCAACTCTCTACTTTATCCATCTTATGTGTTTAGATTGTATCCAAGGTAAATAATTTTACCTGCTATTCTATTGCTTTATTTTGTAATAAGGAAACAAAAACTACGGAGGCAAAAAAGCATGAAGTTCAAATAATATCTCTGTGCTATTTATAAACTTGTTTCTGATTTCCTTTGCTCTCTTTTCCACTTAAAACAATTGCTCGAATAATCAATACCCTATTTATTTAAATATTCAATAACTACAAATCATTTTGAACAATTCATGAGAATCTTAGAAATAAAATGCCAGACAAAAATTGCTAGTCTCATTTACAAGAATTTTTAACTTTCAGATGCTCCCAAAAAACATGGGGAGTATAATCTAGTTAAGAAGTTGGTGGTAAAATTATTGAAAGTAAGTTTTTCAATTTTTTAAAAAGAGTTTCTTACCTGCAACCCTCATCTATGTCTAAGTCACTTCCTTTCTGAAAGCAGAAAGCCAAACTTTATCTTTAAATCTGGCTTTTTCTTTTTATGAATTAAGCAGTATTGTTCTTACAACATTTAAATGAAAATAGTTTGCTGTTTTTAATAGCAGTTTTTCTGATTATTTTCTGACTATTAAGTGTTTTAATAATTTAAAAATAACTTCTGATATTTTCAGATTATTAAATGTTTTAATGTACTTGGATTTTTGAACGAACGCTTCCACGAGGCAGGGACTTCTGTCTGCATTGCTGTTCACTGGTGAATGCCTAGAGGCACAAAAGGAGAGTATTACTCTCTTCATAAATGGTGGAATGAGTGAATGAATGAATGAATGAGCTGTGCTCAGCTGGGGCAGCCTCAGACTCTTTCCTTGGGCCCCTCTGACAGCCTTTGGAATTGCTACGCTTGGATGTGAACTCTGGCCATCTGTTGTCTCTCATCCTGTCCACCTGACCTTCCTGTTTACAATATGTTAATGTGTTTGATGACATTATCTGGCTTTGACTAATCATCCACAAATAGACCCCAATGATCATGAAGAGGGGAAGGGGGACCTGTAATGCAGTCAAAGAGACTTCCTTTAAATCACTGGGTTCTCAGTAAACAGTCATGTTTCACAGCCACCATTGATTCTGAACTCAGATGTTTTCTTCATTTTCTGGTACTGCTTGTCAAGTGTTCTCAGAGGGCTTAGTCTTGAGAGTACCCCCAAAGCCAGATAACATGCCTAAGTGAAGTTTCCCATGGCAAACAGAAACCCAGCCTAAACGCTAGAAATACAGACTGTGGGGATCTGGGCACCAAAACCCACCTATTATTTTATTGTTTTTTAAATAAATGAAGTGGGGCTTTTAATACAAAAAAAATGCAGGAAAAAAAACAATCATGAACAAGCAGTCACAAAATAGCAGAAATCCAGAACAACTAGACGCATTAAACCATGTGCAAAGGATATGCAATAAATCATAATTCTTCTGTAAGAATGAACCACTCGCTTTTTTATAAAGTCTGCCTGGCCAAGTAACCTGCCAGCATCGGAGACATTCCATAAACAGAGGAATTTCCCCAAGCCAGGGTAAAAGCCCAGTTAAGCTCGAAGTGGGCTGATCTTACTTGGGCTGTTCACCGTCCCCTCAAGTTTTCTGCTGCAGGACTTTCGAGGCATGGAACTACAATGAGACTTAAGGGACTCACAGAGGAACCAGCCAGAGTTTCTCCATATTCTGGCTTATTCCGAATACATTTTTAAGTATCCAGACTCCCTTATAATAGAAGAGATGTGCTAATAGCCTATAAGGCAAGGATTTCAAAGATACAAATGGGTATGAGTGAATCAGCACCTTTCTAAATGTCTGTAATGCAGACGACCAACAGTGCTTGGAACACTTTTCAAAGTTGCCAACCGGGCATTTCTATTGGTCAGTAGTAAGGATATTAATTTACTAAATATCACTTCAAACACTGTGCCTACTCTTTTTTTTTTATTTTAAGCATGATCATGCAACCCACAAAGTACATTTATTTCAGCAGGGTTGTTTGGTTCGAAGACATCTTAAAGACTTCTGGTCGAAGATCACTTTTGCTGTCTTTGCTAAAAACCGCCACCCATTTTCATTTTGGAAGATAGTTCCAAGCTGCAAATAAACTTTTTTAAAAGGACACTTAAGGCACCTAGGTTTTAAAGAAGTAGTTGCCCATCATTTCAATGCATTGCTCAGAGGAAATGAGAACACGGGTATCTTAAGAGCATGGGCCACAGAGCCCTGTAGCATTTTAGGGGAAGAGACTCATTTTTCACTCCTTGCTAAGCATCTTTTATCATTTTCCTGTATCAGTTGACTAACACCATATTTTTATAAGCTTCCATTGAAAGACAACAAACTGCATGTATTGTGTACTTATATATTATACTTTTCTTACATTTTTAAAGACCTAAAGTGGATTTGAGCTAAGTGAATATAAGAAGAAAGTCACAGGAAGTTATCACAAATGATGACTGTTTTATTCCAGAATTTACTTGCCCAAACAGTTTAAGAAATACATTTTTTTAAATAATAAAATTCCCACAAAAAGTGAATAACATGGGAGTCTAAATCTACTTTTCAGACTTGCTTCCCCTGTAATATCTGTAATAGAACAATCCTGAATTAGCCCTACTTTCCATAATTCTTGTCAGCAAAATCTATCAGTAGTTCTAACTCTGATTATACACGCTGGTAATGTAATTAAACGTGTTTTAAGCCTATCTCTGATGTCACAGTTTCAAATATAGCCACATAAATTTTAGCTATGAGTATTTCATACATAATTTATATATACAAATGTGTTTGCATGTGTACCTGGATTAAGTATAATAAATGTAAATTATATAATTTATATCTATATATGTTTAACTGTGTTTAGTTTCAATCAGACAATGGTTTGATATATATTTTTAATGAGGGAAAATCCTACTGCAATATTACGATTTTGTGTTTCGCAGACTTCATTTCTTAGTATTTTTTTAATTAAAAAGACAAATACATGTCAATGTACTTTTTAGTAAATGTTATGCTTCCTGTTCCAAAACAACCTTAAGTTTATAAATAAGAGTTAATGAATCCAAGAACCATGTTATTCCATGAGCTTGTGAACAAACAGTTTAAAGTCAAATTCGAATTCTTTCCAAGTTGCATTTTCACACGATGCCATTTATAAACAAGTTTTGAGGGTAGAGGGATTGGTTTTGTCTTGTTTTGTTTTTCTGTTTTTAATAAACAGAATTGAAACCCTGCTTTTGAAATGACTTAAAGACGAGCTGGATTTCTAAAACCATCACAGAATGGAACTTGTGCTAAACTGAGGATTTCTCAGTGCATGGAATCCTCGCCCTGAAGGCGTTTTTCTTGTTTTTGTTTTTGCTTTTTTTTTGCTCTCCAGGAACATTCTAGATGGGCACATGAATGGTTCTGAGACAGTTTGCAGGATCACATGACGCTCCCTTCATTGAAGAACAAGGGCGCCTGCGTGGCATCCACTCCTGAAACGTCGATAAGGAAAAGATCTGAGAGAACTAACACTAACCTTGGACTCCATCACGCAGACCATTGTCCCATCTGTAATTGTGACAGACGCTCCCCCAGGTCCTCCCTTCCACACAACTCCCAGGACCACTTTATCCTTTCTCTCTCTGCTGCCAAGGAGAGTGGAGTTCCCGGAGTTTTGACACCTTGTAAAGACATTCCAGTGGATTCCAGCACACCCAAACAGATGGTGTGAAAGGAAGACAGGGAAAGAAAATAGAGACCGCTGCCAGATTCTCATGTATTCTAGGTAACACCGTGTTCCAGGGAAAGAGGAAGAAAAAAAAAAATAGAAAGGAACTGATATCATTGTTACCGCTTGCTTCCTAAGCCAAGCCAACGTGCTTCTGCCAAAGATAACAACGTCTTTAAGATGGCTACAAGACTCCTGATGTCATGTGAGGTAACAGAACTGGACCTTTGAGGGGGTATGAAACAATAATGTGTGTTACTGTTACACTGTGTTACACTCATGCTTAAGTGAAACAGAATTTCTTTTTCTTTGAGCAAAGAATGATATTCAGCTCAAAATCACATCTCTGCTTCTTTTCCTTGTCCAGCGTGCTGGACGTCCTCTACCGAGCATCCTCTCAGAAAGCCAGTCATGAGAACAGAGTCTATGAAATAAAACACTAAGGAACAATTAAATACTTTTTCCCCCAGATGTTTAAATATATATATATCTAAATATATACATACACATGTACAAATAAACAAACCTGTGCAAAGGTGTTTAACATCATTAGCCATTAGGAAAACGTAAATTAAATCCACAATGAGACACTGCTACACACTTATCAGAATGTCTAAAATAAAGAACAGTGACAACACCGAATTCTGGTGAGGATACGGAGAGACTGGATTTCTCCTTCATTGCTAGTGGCAATGGAAAATGGGAGCAGTTTGGAACTTTGGAAAACGGTTTGGCGGTCTGTCTAAAAACTAAACCAGCAACTACTACATAACCCAGCAATTGTACTCCTAGGCATTTCTCCCAGAGAAATGAAAACTGTGTTCACACAAAAACCCGTACACAAATGTTTATAGCAGCTTTATTAATAATAACCTAACCTGGAAACAACCAGGCGTCCAGAATGTGCAAACTGTGGCTGATCAACCGAATGGTGGTACACCCACACCGTGGAAGGGAGGTGGGCTTGGCTATGAAAGGGCATCAGGAGGCAGACCTGCGGTGGGGGGGATGTTCTGTGCCTTGACTGATCAGCGTCAGCATCCTGGCTGATGCAGGTACTCTGCTGGTACGAGATGTTACCATTGGGGGAAACCGGATAATAGGTACATTGAGTCTCTCTTATTTCTTACAACTGTGTGTGAGTCTATAAGAACCCCCAAATAAAAATTTTAATTAAAAATGTAACTCCTGTTACCATGAAAAAATTAATCTATGCAAAGACACAGAGGAAAATACGGATCTTTTGAACAAATGAATTTGAAGATTGTAGTGATCCAAACAGATTTCTCTCAAGCAATAAAGAAACATATATGTGTATACATGTGATATGTATGTAACACAACAGATTACTTAGTTTTAGTGAAGAAGGGAGCCACTAGTCTGTCCGTGTCTTCACCAACCTACTCAAAAGCTCTAGATCAGAGAAAGAATATTACAAGTATTCTACCAAGGATATAATGGAAGGATGCTACAAATAACGTTATAGCATCAATATGCTCTCTGGATGTGCAAAGATAAAATTATTGGAGCACCATTCCCTGGTTATAAATTTGGCTTATCTTGAGGCCATGCATTCTCTTATCCTTGTCCCTTGGGCCCAATGACATGAGTTATCAAATGGCTAACCAAAATTAAGAATCTCCTTTAGGACTGCCATGTGACCCACACAGATAGAAAACTCACGACCCTCGCCCTTGGCTTTTCCTGCTCGTCAGTCCCACACTCACGTTTCATTTTGAGAGATGGAAAAGTCACATTAAAGAAGGAAGAGAAGCCACATTCTTGCCGGTCCCTTGGGTTCCTAACATGCTCACCCGGACTCTCATGCCCGTATCTCATTTGCATTTGCCTTTTCTCCAGTTCTGGCTCTTCCTGGTCTGTTCATGTCTCTTCCTTCCCATGTGTTCTTTTCCCCTGATTCTCTTCCTCAGCCCAGCGTCCTCTCCTGTCTCATTCCTCTTCCACTCCTCCCACACGCCGGCCTTGCCGCCTCTCCAGCTCGATGGACACTGCTCAGCCAATGCCTTCTCTTTCTTGCACTGAATCTCCTTACCCCCTGGTTATACAGTCCCACAGTCAGCCACACATAGGCTGAGCTAAAAAGGAAATTATTTTGTTCTTAAGTGGATGCTTTTAACATTACCAAATTCCTTAGGTAGAACTGTTTCAGGATTTTGTTGGTTTATTTGTTTGTTGTTTAATTATACATAACATTGCCCCCAGCTGTCTAGAACAGCTTTCAGCACTGGGACTTTGGCCCTAAAAGGGTCAATGAGGACACATATCTTTCCCACTGCCTCCCCTACATCTGTCTCCCTTCTCCTTTCTATAAACCTCCCTTCCTCTTTCTGTCTTACCCAGACCTTTCTTGTGTAAAACTTTATGGTTTTATGTTTCTTACACAAGTATGATACTACAAACACACACACACACACACACATACACACAATCCCAGAAGCAGCATCAGCAAACATATTTTCAGGTAAAATCAATAAATGATGATCAGCATGTGCTACAATTGCCCCAACACACATACTCCTGTGTTCTGGGCTCTGAAAAGCTTCTATAATGTGCTGGGGTGGGGCAGGAGTTGAGGGGGCTATGTAGGAACTACAGTCATATAACTCAGAACATTTCCCCCAAGAAAAGCTGCTCATGGGTGATTCCATTGCTGCCCCTGACCATCAGCACAAGGCCCTTAGCCCAGTCACTGATGAACAGAATCAGACCAAAGGAGAAAACAAAAATGTACAATCTCTGGCTTTGAGGACAACCTCTTAGGCATGCAGTGTCCACCAAATCACTGCCTCCCCTGTTTTATTTTGTTTTATTTGTCACTCAACCATTTTATGGTCCCTGCAGCTACACATAACAAACAGGATCATTTAGGAAACAAAATGACCACTAAATCAGTGAAAGATGTTTAATGTGCAAACTAGACCTTATGATAAAGCCATCTGTGTTTTTCACTCTGGATCACTTTCCCTGGAAAAGAAACCTGCATCATTTATCTGAAGTCTGAGAAAGGTAATGAATTAATGATTTACATGATCATCATAAAGCTGAAAATCACATACAGGATCTTTCCAGTCCTAGACTCTCTGCAAAGTGAGTGCTTGGACCACAGAAGGCCCTCACTGGTCAACAGATGATATCTGTGTTTTCTGTGTGATTCTGAGAACTCCATGTGAAAGCAAAAAAATTATACGAAACAAGAAGTAGTGATGAAATAGCGCTACAATTAAGAAATAACTTCAGGATTTTGAGTTGCTTGTGGGAAAACTAAGAAATTTACTTTGCCTATAAGTGCTTGAGGAATAATATTTTGGTGATTTATTGTTGTATAATAAACCTGACGGCTTAAAACGACAACACGTTATTTCTCACAATTCTGTGGGTGGGCTGAGTTCAGCTGGGCGGTTCTTCCACCCCATGACATGGTGAGTGAGATGACTTGTGTGGTGAGGTTCAGCTGAGAGTTCGGCTGGAGCTGGATCATCCAGGATGGCCTCTCATATTCCAGAACCTCTCTCCTGTGACATCTCACCATTTACTCATCGGGCCCACACTTCTTTAACTAGCAGCTCGAGAATAAGGGAGAGGCTGAAGCCAAGGTAGAAGCTGACAGAGCTCTTAAAAGTGAGACCCATACCTGGCCCAGTTTTTTGTTTTTTTAACTTTTGCCACAATCTGTTAGTCAAAGTAAGTCAAGGCCAGATAGGATCAGAAGGAAGAGGAAGCAGATTCCACCTCTTGACGGGAAGAGCTGCATGTATATTCACAGATAGGAGCTTTGGGCCGCCCTTTTGGAGACAGTTCTACCGCAGATGAGCAGGAGGCAATGCAGACGTCTTCTCCTGCAATACGTATGCCACATTTAAAACTGGGGTGATCTAAAGTGACCTTGATAGCATTCAGAAGTCAATGAAAACAATAATGCTTGTGTCCTTGAGAAAAAATATTATCTATTTTATTTAATAAATACCCCTTACCAGCCTGCCAGTGGGTCCCCAAACTCCCAGTATTAGAGCCATTCCTTTGAGTTATATCATCTTCAAAAGTCCTGCCTAAAAATGCAAATACCTCTGGCATTGGTCAACCACAAATGCCTCTGGGTGAATCTGAGCTTAGCAACTACGTTTGGGGGAGGTCTCTGAGGCAGAGTTCTTACTCCACAATCGGTGGCTGGGCTTTGGGCATCTAGACGACCTTGACATCACTTTCAAGATGTGGTGGTTGTTACGTGCATTTTTCATCAGTTTCCCAAATGGTTCAGATACCAAAAAGTTTAGGACTCACTATTCTAAGTGCATGGTCACAAGTACGTCTCACTAGGGTAAAGGTGAGACTAACAGAGTTCTCTTTGATGAGTACTTTGCAGTGTAGCACTGAACTGTCCTCTAATTATTTAAAATCCTTTACCTTGATTTCCCCCACAAAAACTACATCTACATGTGGAAGGAAGGGTCTTCACTTTACACCTGTACCTCCCCTGGGAAGGATCCTTTACTGTCCTCAGTGTGCATCTGGTCTAGTTCTTAAATCATGTTCCCTGGAAGTTTTCCGGGGCTAAGTGAGGCCAAGGAAGGGCATGCTTGCAGGGAGAGCCCAGGGGATGAGTGGAACTCAGATTTGCCCCATTCAGACAGAGGGACTCCACCTTTGATTCACTCTTATTAAACATACATGAATGTTCTCCTTTGAAGAATGAGTCTTGAGGCTAAAAGAAGTTTGAAAATAAGTCAATGTCCTCATTTCCATGTAGTTTAAAAAAAAAGGATATTCAGTGGGTTTAAATATTTTCCTCAAAGTCTGGAGTCAAAGCCAGACTAGAACTGTGACTTGAGTTTCCTGACACTGAATTCTGTAAGCTTTCTAGTCTGTACTCTACCTCCCCACCAGCCTCACCACCTTCTCAGAGGCCAGAGTGTACCCCGCCCAAACTCCTAGATGTGTTTTCCTCTCCAGCAGAAAGTGTCTGCAATC